TGCACAGATGACCACTCGAAGATCACCAGTTACAGGTAAGCAACCTGTCTTTCCCTTAGTTTAGTTTTTATGAGTTTAAAGACCTCCCTTTGCTGTGAGGAGGAAATGCCAATGTTCAAGGATTCTAATTTGGATTCAATTAACTTAGTTCTATTACTAGTATGAGTGTCTCTCTGAATCAAGTGAGCGAAGCCTGGTCCACTAGGGGAAACCCCTCTATTTTCTTTATTGATAAACAGTTTAAATGCTAACTGCCATGCTCTTCTCTCCATTAATGGATATTTTAATTGACTTTTTATCCTTTTATTCTTGTGATACTTAAAACCTTGTGTTATTGTTAGCCTGACTTATTTGACTGAGAGGCAGAATAAAACTATGTTCAATAAATATAATAAAATGTGTTGATGTATATTCATGCAGTTCTGCATATGAATATACTTCCCCCAAAAGCACAGGTTTCCAAGACTGTAAGGTTCAGAACTGAATTATCTTTTTACTTACGTATTATGGGCCTTGTGTTAATATTTTAAGAAGTACAGTTGTCGTAAGCATTTTAACATGGGGTTGCTTTTCTTGTACACAATAAAATGTTTGACTATGCCAAGCTGCTCTGTCCTATTGCACACACCACTGACCAGTTTAAATACTACTCTCATGGATGAAATATGAAGGCAACATGATGAAACCAGATCTAGACAAAGTGACACAGGATTTATGAATTCTGCCACTTCAGAAAACATTCATAGTGTTAAGTTCATAGGTAGCAATGCTCCCTCTAAGCTGTGGACTCTTGGGAGCAAAAATTCTACTTGGTGAGCTACTGGCATTAAAGTTGTGAGCGTGCGATTTGGCTGCTGCATAAATTAGTTTGCTCTGGAGCCGGCCTCCCTGAGCTAAGACAAAAATGTGTGAGCCGGAGGCTAAAAGACTGTGAGCTAGCTCACACTAACTCAGCTTAGAGGGAACACTGACAGTTAGTACTTTTAAGAGTCTAACTTATTTTCACTAGTGAAAGACTGCTGTACTGATTTCCCCCCTGATTTTTCCAGACGGTTGAAGAAGAAGCTTTAATCAAGAATAATAATACATGTAAAGACTTCCTTATTGAGGCCATGAAATATCACTTACTTCCTCTGGATCAAAGGCAACTAATAAAGAATCCTAGAACAAAGCCAAGGACACCGGTCAGTCTGCCAAAGGTAAGTGAAGCTTTGTTGGAAAAGGGGAGGCCAGGGCGCAGTTCACACATTTGCCAAACTTAGAAACATGGTATATTTAGCAGAGTTCTCTTCATATTGCTATGCACCATGCCCATATGAAGTCTGCATCAGATATGCACATGTGCCATCATGTGCCAGTACTGCCTGACAGCTCCAGTTTTGTGGTGGAAGAGGCTTGAACGGGTGTGAATCATAATGTACAGGTATGCCATCTCCTTGTACATCCAGTTTAGAGCCTCATCTGGGCTGGGAAGGTTCTTCTGTGGTTGAAGAGTGGGCACATGCATGCCCTTCAACTATGCTCCTGATGTCATGCGGTAAGGTGGATGGTCTCCAAGGATGTCTGTCCGTAGAGCCCCAAGTTTCATAATTCCTGCGCACCCTAAGGTGTGTGAGAGAAATGCAAATTTGTCTTCTTTGTGTAGGGGTAGCTGTGTGGACTGCTGTCATTTTACTCTATGTATGAGCTTGCTGGGGCGAGGGACTCCGTATGCTCCTCTATCATGGCAAGAGGATTTTTGAGCTTGTGAAGTGTCTGAACTGTGCCAAAGTCATATAGGTGTTATAGATGGACAGGCGTATGAGGCTTTCGTGTTATGGAGTGCTTGAACTGATCTGTAGAAGATTAGACTTGTTAGCAAATTAATAGTTTTGATTTGGCATTACTTAGAATACTTTCTGTGGCTGCAAAACTCGGGCACCTGCTGGCTTGGATCCACCAGGACGTTTCCACTGACAGAAGGATATCTGCATGCAGAGTACAAATACCTTGTCTTCCCCTTTCCACGGCAACCCTCCTGGGAGTGATATTTTAGACTACCTTTAGGGTTGCTGCACGAGGGGGGAGGCAAGAAAAGAAAAGTTGCATTCTGCGGGTGGAAGTCTTTTGGTTCACAGAAGCACCGTGGTGGATCCAAACAAAGCGCTTTTCCATCGGAGTTTTTCCGTTAGCAGCTATTCAGAACCCACTGAAATTATCCTGTGTGCTATGAATTTCTCTCTGCCAAGATATTTGCATCATCGGAGGCATTGTGTGGCCTGAACTGTGCAAAGGAAGCAAAAAGCAAGGAGTGAGTACTCTAAAGCCCGTTAGCATTTACTACTACATCCCTGTTTAGAAGTCCTGAATATCTTCAGAACTTTGTGTAACTGTGTCTGCCCTGGGGGACTAACTCAGTGAATATTTAGATCAGCCATGTTGTAAAGAAGCTCTGTGGCATTGGACGATGTCACCTTTCATGGCCTTGGCAATTTGAAGGCGGTTATGTTTTAGGCACATTTGAAAATAAGTGACCTGTTAGCTTGTTGAATTGTTTTTTTCTCCCTCATTATCTTTGCTTCATTCTAATCTCCTTATGTTGAAACAAGTCTCTCCTGATATTAAGCACCACCAGTGCTCCTATTCTTAGAAGTTTCATATACTTCTAGGATGCTATCGTGTGTTTTGAGTGAAAATGTAGCTCTTTTGGGATTTGAACTAATTACCTTTGCAAAACATGCTAGATAGTCGGTGAAAGCTAGAGTGCATAGTCTGTGCCTGAAGGCTGTGGCCAGTGCTTTATCCAGCAACTTTTTAGCTTTCCTCCAAATTTAATGTTACGCAGATGCCAGTTTTTTATGCTTCTAAAAGATAATGTGTTTTTTCCATGGGAGGTTCTGGTTTTGCTGTGTGTGGTCTGCTAGCTTTGGGAGATTATGGATTCTGTTTTCAAAATGTCTACTTGCAGTCAATTATACTCCATTTTCTTTAACCCTGTAATTTTTCTCCTGATTCAACCAAGGTCATGATTGTAGTGGGTGGGCAAGCGCCCAAAGCCATTCGGAGTGTAGAGTGTTACGACTTTGAAGAGGAAAGATGGGATCAGGTAGCTGAACTTCCTTCTCGAAGGTGTAGAGCAGGTAACTTTTTCTTTCTTTGATGGCCTGAGTCAGAATCTCAAATATGTATTATTCGGGGTGCATTTTAAATATTCTGTATCTTGCAAATGTAAACTGGGAGCTTTTATTGCATGCATCTCCTTACTGAGTGATAAACCTGGATTTTCATAAGTGTAATATATGATCCCTGTCCCCAAAAGCCCTGCTGTGAAATGCTTCTGCTCGTCACTTAGGTTCCACATTACTTTGTGGGTTTTTGCATTGCGGTGACCATACATGCAGGCCATCACATTTGAAAGTTTGCTTTTCTGCATAGATTAGAAGAATTCATCACAGCAGTCTTCAGAAATGTGCTGTCCTGGCATTAAAATTTTCTTTGTGATAGGGCTCATCAATGTGGTAAGCATTATGGCTTCCATAGAAAGCCATTTTCATGCTAGAATATTTCTTGGTTGCCTTCAGTATGCTTTAACTAATGAAGCCCACCTAAGTAATGTGATTGGGACTCTTTGGGCACAACTGGCCTAAAGTCTCTCTCCATTTGTTTTTTAACAGGAGTGGTGTTCATGGCAGGCAAAGTGTACGCCGTGGGAGGTTTTAATGGCTCTTTACGAGTCCGAACAGTAGATGTATACGATGGCGTGAAAGACCAGTGGATATCAATAGCCAGCATGCAAGAAAGACGGAGCACTTTAGGGGCCGCTGTGCTAAACGAGCTCCTTTATGCTGTTGGAGGATTTGATGGAAGTACAGGTAGGCTCCCGAGCAAGGTCAAGAGCAATCCTGATCCCTGGAACACTTTACTGAGGCTGTGGGTCTCCTCTGAGCTCCCACCACTGAATGTCAGACTTTTCTGTTTTGTGAAAAGCAGGCAGTCTGTACAGACTCCTTGTTATGTTCTGGCTTGATGTAACTGCAGTCTCTTTGGAAAATGTGTGCAGCAGAACTAATCTGTTCCAAGGACACCTTAGCACCATAAAGGCCATCTTCCAGTAGAAGGCCATCTTTCTTTAGAAGCCAGTCTTCTTTTTAAAGTGCTGCTTTTAAAATCCATTGTTCTGGGGAAAACGGAAAGGAGAACCAGTGTGTAATTCCCAGGTGTAGATTCACATTGTAAGCCTATTAGTGCTGGCTGCAGGCCCTGCCAGGGATGCCTCTAGTGCCCGAAGTGGACAGCTTCCTGGCTACAGGTTTATCAGCTTGGGTTTTGGCTTTTCCTTGGAAGGGAAGGGGGCCATTAAGACAACATGGCACCTGTGAAAAAGAGGACACTGTACTCTCCTAAACTGTTGAACCAGAAAAACCCTTTCTGATATCATTTTGAAAACAGGGCTGGCATCTGTGGAGGCCTACAACTATAAAACAAATGAATGGTTCTTTGTGGCACCCATGAATACAAGAAGGAGCAGTGTTGGAGTTGGCGTTGTGGAAGGTAAGTACAGCAAACAGCTATTTCGGCCACAGGAGCTTTTTATTGGGTATAAAATTGCATCTGAAAAAATGAAACTCAGCTTCTTAAAAATTGTCAGGTGGAACTAAGTGCTCTGTAAAGAAATTCCTTCTATGACCTACAGTTGGCTACGCTCATTGATTACTGAGGTATGCTTTTGCAAGCTTGCTTGTCACGTTTTGAGTGTTTGCTTCTTTGTCATGCTAATATGTTTTACTTGGCTGGCTGAACAGCGATCAAGGTGTCCATGCAGGTATGAATCCTAATCTACACCACGCAGTGCCTCATAAATATTGAACAGTATTTGTAGAGTAATATGCTGTACCCCTGAAACCACTGAATTATAAACAAAAAAATATTTTTGGAGAACACCATAGTAGGAGCATTTGCGTAACATAAATCATAAATGATATAAGCACTGCTGTGGCCCTAGACTCTGGGTTCACTGACGCTTGATGATATGAGCTGTGATTCAGCATTTTACATGGTGAGCAGTTTTACTTGCTACAGTCGCATGAAGGGAACAAGGAACACCTCCATCTAGTGTGAAATGAATAACTCACCTTGGTGTGTGTGGGGGGACGGGACGTTCTAGGTGTCTCCCCACTTCAAGAACTTGGGTACGTTTGCTTCATTCTGTAAATATCCTTTTGTGCTCTGAAAACCCCATGTCTCTGTGTCTACAGAGGAATCCTAACTAAGTAACTTGCCCAGCCAAGTAATTGTTCAGAAAATTAGGAATGATTGACCTACTGATTTTAATCTGTATTTTTGTATGTTTTTAACCTGTTGTAAATCACCCAGAGAGCTGTGTACTTAAGGGATTGGGTGATCCAGAAATTCTATTATTATTATTATTATTATTATTATGGTCTCCTAGTATGGCTGTTACCCTAGTGCCAAGGTGTATGTGCATGTCTTAATGCAGACATTAAGTGACAACATGAAAACTTCATTGGATATAGTGAGGTCTTAAAAATTCTTGGAATAGATGGGAGAGAAGTTTGCGTTCTTACTGTGTAAGGGGAAAAAACTAGAGTGGCAGTTTCCATTAGTTAGCACTTCTTGAAATTTGTCACTCAGCACAAGCTTCTCCATTTGTTTTTGATCTGTGCATCTGGTGTGCAAATGTTTCTGTACTGGTAATGGTCAAATGAAGCTCTCAGGTTTTTTTTGATGCACAGTAACAGTCATAAAATATATGTTGTAAAGTACATCCTTTCTATGTGTGTTCTCTTTTTAAGTATTGCTGTTGATGTGCAATGGTGCATATTCATTTATTCTAGGGAAGCTGTATGCTGTTGGTGGTTATGATGGAGCATCACGTCAGTGCCTTAGTACTGTGGAGCAGTATAACCCAGCTACAAATGAGTGGACCTACGTGTCAGATATGAGTACTCGGCGCAGTGGTGCAGGTATTCTGCAGTGCAAACCCCCACCCCACCCCTTCGCCTTTATGCACATTCGGCATTTGCCACCACTAAGTCTCTGAACAGTATACATTTGTTTCAGGAATCAATAGGCTTCAGGTCACTAGAAAATATCTCTTTGTGGTTTCCTTTTCTGGTTGTCATTCTTGTGGAGATTCATGTGTGCTGTAAAGCTGAATTCATGCTTGCTGCACCAACACGAAGTCTTCTTGAAGTTAGGTTTAGTTTAGTACTGTACATTTGTTAAACATTGACATGAGACAATTATTAAATACACACTTATTTATTTGAAATATTTTTCTCCAGCACAGCAGGACTCAAAGTGGCTTGTAATTATAAAATCAGAAATAGCACACTAAAATCACAGTGCAAACATAAACAAAGAATATGCCTCACATTACCTCACATACACCTGGCCAGACACTTCAAGTCACTAATTCTGCTATTCATAGTTGGATAACAGGCAAAGCTTTTTTATCCAACAGTAGCAGTGAGTATAGTCCTGAAAGGAAGAGAGAGGAATAGAGTTGCTAAGTGGTCCAGCTGGGTGCTTGTGCCCTTGAAAGTCAGCAAAATAGGAAGTGTGGTATAATGGTTAAAAATGTCAGACTAGTATCTGGGAGACCCAGGTTTGAATCCTCACTTGTACCCTGGAAACTGGCTGAATAACTTTGGGCCAGTCACGCTCACTCAGGCTGATTTCACACAAGGAGTTGTGCCGCCGTCGTACCTCCCTTTGCCCCATTTCCATTGGGCAATTTCCCACTCGAAGTTGTGCAGCCGCATTTTGACCCGCGGCTTTGCCTGATTTTCCCCGCAGTACTCCCTCTCAGGTGGAGGCCATCTTGTGGGTGATTCCCATCCATCACTTAGGGAGGCAGGACTAATTCAAAGCTTCCTGTTTCCTGTGGTGGGAGTCACCCTAGGCTCAGTTCTTTTCCTGCCTCAGTAGGGAGAGCAGCTAGGTCTAGGCTCTGCCTTATCCTTCCTACTGCTTTTATTTAGTCTGTCTCTCTCTGTCTCTCTGTCTCTCTCTCTGTCTCTCTCTCTGTCTCTCTCTCTGTCTCTCTCTCTGTCTCTCTCTCTGTCTCTCTCTCTCT